CTTGTAAATAGTTCTTCATTAACTGTGGAATGGAGACTGAGGTACAAGGTGCTGGAAGCTCAGCCACCAATCTCTGGTATCATACCCAGACAGAAGCACCTACAGTGTACAATACAGCAACACAGAACTTGGTATCATGCAGTGACTGGTGGCACTAAGTGGAGAGCTTCAACAAGAGACCAGGAGCAGAACCACCACTCCTGATATAACCTGTCGACCACACAGGCACCGCTGATGGCCAAGGAACGCTGTAATGTGAACAAATCCACAAGGGCCGTGACGAGGATTCGAACCTGCGTCCGGGAGCATCCCAGACACTGCCTTAATCGACTGAGCTACGACAGGGTAAAAAGGGTTTTGTTCATTTGATGCATCACGTTAGTGTGATCTGTGTGTGTGTGAATGCTGTAATGTGTTGTGAGATCATTGCTTCAAGAATTTTGTCGGTAATTGAGAGCAGTAACACAGGTCTGGAGTCACTGAACTTTGATCGCCTTCTCATTTTGTGAGGCTGAACTATGTCGTCTTTCATTGGGACGGCCTTGTACCTTGAGCCTGGCGGAGCTGACAAAGACCAAGTTAGCAGCACCGTATTACTAAATAGACCGTCCAACCGTTTGGGCTGGACGGTAGAGCGACGGTCTGACTTCCTGCAGGTCGGCGTTCAATCCCCGACCGTCCAAGTGGTTGAGCACCATTCCTTTTCCCCCGTCCCATCCCAAATTCTTATCCTGACCCCTTCGAAGTGCTATAGTGTCGTAATGGCTTGGCGCTTTCTCCCGATATTCCTTCCCTTCGAGATGACGTTATCCGATGCCATTGTTCTCACTATCTCTCATTCTCTCTCTCTCTCTCTCTCTCTCTCTCTCTCTCTCTCTCTCTCTCTCTCTCTCTCTCTCTCTCTCTCTCTCTCTCTCTCTCTCTCTACTCTCTCTCCGGTCTCTGGGCTTGGAGAGTCATGGTAGCGGAGATCACAGCCGAAGGTGCTCGATAGATAGGGGCCGTGAGGTGATACAGGAAAGAGCGCATGAAAGAAATATGTTCCCGTGGGAAATATATGGTCAGCGTGGGAAATATATGGTCAGCGTGGGAAAATAAACGTGATAGGCTTGAGATGGATGCGACAAGCGTGAGAAAGGGAAAACGGCATGAGAGTGAAGCCATCTTTCAGCGCAGGTAAATATTATGTTTCTGTAAGTTTAGTGTTGAGATTGTGACTGATGGTGTGGGGGCGTGTGTGTGTGTGTGTGTGTGTGTGTGTGTGTGTGTGTGTGTACTCATCTAGTTGTGTTTGTGGGGGGGGTTGAACTCTGGCTCTTTGGTCTCGCCTCTCAACTGTCAGTCAACTGGTGTACAGATTCCTGAGCCTACTGGGCTCTATCATATCTACATTTGAAACTGTGTATGGAGTCTGCCTCCACCACATCACTGCCTAATGCATACCATTTGTTAACTATTCTGATACTGAAAAAGTTTTTACTAATGTCTCTATGGCTCATTTGTGTGTGTGTGTGTGTGTGTGTGTGTGTGTGTGTGTGTGTGTGTGTGTGTGTGTGTGTGTGTGTGCGTGTGTGTGTGTGTGTGTGGTGGATGTGTGGATGTGTACTCACCTAGTTGTGCTTGCGGGGGTTGAGCTCTGGCTCTTTGGTCCCGCCTCTCAACCGCCAATCAACAGGTGTACACGTTCCTGTGTGTGTGTGAGTGTGTGTGTGGGGGGGAGGGGGGAGGAGGGGAGGGTTGCCATTTCATTCTGTGTCAATACAATGACATTCGTTCATTAAGTTTCTTGTATTTTCTTTGGAAGTTGCTAAAGAAAAGTAGGTTTTTCTTGTATTCCGTTTGATGTGTGTGTGACTCCTATTATACTGCAGTGACTCCTAGACATTGTCCACTGTGTTACTTGCGGGTCACAGTTGGTGAGAGTGACAAAGGAGTTCCAGCAGTTACACTTGCACTGCTCCAGAGAGCACTCGAAACCATTTGTTGTATAATAGTGAGAGCTGGAGAGAAAGAAACGGAAGGAGAGAGAGAGAGAGAGAGAGAGAGAGAGAGAGAGAGAGAGAGAGAGAGAGAGAGAGAGAGAGAGAGAGAGAGAGAGAGAGAGAGAGAGAGAGAGAGAGAGAGAGAGAGAGAGAGAGAGAGAGAGAGAGAGAGAGAGAGAGAGAGACAGAGAGAGAGAGAGAGAGAGAGACAGAGACAGAGAGAGAGAGAGAGAGATAGACAGATAGAGATAGACAGATAGACAGAGAGAGATAGTTCTAATAAAGATGAAAGATAGCAGGAACCCCTATGACACACATATAATACATTGTCCACCTGGATAACGAAGCTCAGTGTGTGTCTAATGAGTAATGATTCTAATGATTAATGAGCCTAATGAGTAATCAAATGAGCAGTGAGTAATGTGAGACAGTGTACTGAGAAGCACAAACTTCTCAAAGTCACACCGACGACAAAACAAAACAAAAAAATACAAGAAAATACATCTCCCTACAACACGCCTGTAATTGCATCCAAATTAAAACTTGCTAACGAGGCGATACACTAATTAACGATTTTTCACTAAGAATTTAAACTTCCTTGCAAGAGATTATAATTAGATTCATCCTTCATTCAAAGCCTAATACGGTATTATGTCTTTGAAAACGTCCTTTCACGAGTAAAAGTCTATATGCTACGATATATATATATATATATATATATATATATATATATATATATATATATATATATATATATATATATATATATATATATATATATATAAAATATCGAAGCCCAGTAATGTTTAGAAACAGCCCAATCGAGGGGAAAAAAATATATCCCCACCAGACAAGGAAAATTCCCCGCCAGACGGGGGCTATTTAGATGGACGAGTAGGAGTAACGATTTAAGGGGGGGGGGAGGCAGGGAAGAATAACCGGAGGATTATCTCCCCTGTTGCGTAGGGAGCGGAAGACCCTAAACCAGGGGAAACTGGGGGGGGGGCAGGGAGGAATTGGTGTGAGGGCAGGGAAGTCGATAGAGGGCGGGACTGTGGACAGGGGAAGTCAAAATAGGGCAAAACTGAGAGCAGGAGTCAAAATAGGGTGAAACTGTGAACAAGAGAGTCAAAATAGGGTGAAACTGTGAACAAGATAGTCAAAATAGGGTGAAACTGAGGGCAGGAGAGTCAAAATAGGGCGAAACAGTGAGCAAGATAGTCAAAATAGGGCGAAACAGTGAGCAAGATAGTCAAAATAGGGCGAAACAGTGAGCAAGATAGTCAAAATAGGGCAGAACTGTGAACAAGAGACAAAAGAAGAGAAGGGGTGCAAACAAAGAGGAGATGGCATTAGATTAGGGGAGACGAAATAGCACATGACATTAGGGAAAGGGGGAAGAGAGGGACAAAAGCCAACTGCAAAAAGAGATCCAATTAATAGGCTTACACGTGAATAATGGATCCTAACGACACATTCCTTAAATAGGGAATTTCTTTTAAAGTATATGTGAGGCTGGAATTTGGAATAGGTAAATAGGTAGGAGATACGAATAGGTAGAGAGCTTACTCGAAGCTTTAATACAAGCTTTACATCCAAATAGGATATTGTAAAAAAGACAGATATAAGCCTAATAGGTAACCTGTGAGAGAATAGTGTGAAATTGGGCATGAGGCTGCGAATGCAAAGGTTGTAATTGGCAGTCTGACAGAGAATAGGGTGGCTGATGTTACAGGGAACAGCAGCAGTAACGTAAATTGGAAATTTGGGAAATAGGATGTACAGCCAGTAAAGGAAATTGGGAGTAGCAACTTGTATAAAGACTGTAATTGGACGTCTAAATAGTTAGTCTTAGTTAATAGTTAGTCTCAGTAACTAACTAAATAGCTATTCTCAACTGTTGGAAAGGGGGGGGGGGGTGAACGAACAGACCCTATTCGAACGTCTCCTACGAACGAAATTGGACAATAACGAACATATCGTTAGGTAACGTTCGCCCACGTTCCTCGCTATACTATAAGTCCCCATTAACCCATTTGGTTTTGTCTCGACTGAGCAGCTTAATTTTTGCATTTTAAAACGAGGAATAGATGAAAATAGACTTAATTGAGGGAGATGGAAAGTTGTTTACAACACTCTCCTGTCCTTGACGAAAGAGATAGAGATAGAGATAGGGGGAAGGAGACGGGATTAGGGTGGAGGGGGCGGGTGGGAGGTAGATAGACAGACGGATCGTTTCAAAAATTTAAAATTCCCGCGCGCGCGTAACTCTTCGCTGTGATGAAGTAGGGCCCCGACTAACGACCCGTTGCGGCCGTTTACCACCCGTTATGGTTGTTGGAGGTGGGGGGTTGTTAGTCGCCACCAGTGTACACACACACATATACACACACACACACATATACATACATTATGTGTGCGTGTGTGTTATTTTTATTATTTGTGAGTGTCCTGTTTCCCATTTTTTTATCCACTTTGTCGTTTCCACTTAGAATCTTATACGTTGTTATCATGTTCCCTCCTCTTCCTGCGTCTCTTGTCCTTTAGCGAAGTGAGGTGTAGTTTGCTGACTTTGTGTAGCTTATTGCTCGTTATTCATGGCTCCAGAGAATTACCCAAAGCCTCATAAAGCCACTCAAGGCTACCCAAAGCCTCGTAAAGCCACCCAAGACTACCCAAAGCCTCGTAAAGCCACCCAAGACTACCCAAAGCCTCATAAAGCCACTCAACGCTACCCAAAGCCTCGTAAAGCCACCCAAGACTACCCAAAGTCTCGTAAAGCCACCCAAGACTACCCAAAGCCTCATAAAGCCACTCAACGCTACCCAAAGCCTCGTAAAGCCACCCAAGACTACCCAAAGCCTCGTAAAGCCACCCAAGACTACCCAAAGCCTCATAAAGCCACTCAAGGCTACCCAAAGCCTCATAAAGCCACTCAAGACTACCCAAAGCTTCATAAAGCCACCCAAGACTACCCAAAGCCTCATAAAGCCACTCAAGGCTACCCAAAGCCTCATAAAGCCACTCAAGGCTACCCAAAGCCTCATAAAGCCACTCAAGGCTACCCAAAGCCTCATAAAGCCACCCAAGACTACCCAAAGCCTCATAAAGCCACCCAAGACTACCCAAAGCCTCATAAAGCCACCCAAGACTACCCAAAGCCTCATAAAGCCACTCAAGGCTACCCAAAGCCTCATAAAGCCCCTCAAGGCTACCCAAAGCCTCATAAAGCCACTCAACGCTACCCAAAGCCTCATAAAGCCCCTCAAGGCTACCCAAAGCCTCATAAAGCCACTCAACGCTACCCAAAGCCTCATAAAGCCCCTCAAGGCTACCCAAAGCCTCATAAAGCCACTCAACGCTACCCAAAGCCTCATAAAGCCACCCAAGACTACCCAAAGCCTCATAAAGCCACTCAACGCTACCCAAAGCCTCATAAAGCCCCTCAAGGCTACCCAAAGCCTCATAAAGCCACTCAACGCTACCCAAAGCCTCATAAAGCCACCCAAGACTACCCAAAGCCTCATAAAGCCACCCAAGACTACCCAAAGCCTCATAAAGCCACTCAAGGCTACCCAAAGCCTCATAAAGCCCCTCAAGGCTACCCAAAGCCTCATAAAGCCACTCAACGCTACCCAAAGCCTCACAAAGCCTCCGTAAAATGAGAAAGAAAAGAACAAATTAACACATTTACTTACTATAACGGTAGCCGTGAATGCAGAACGTGAACAAAAATAACTTCACTCTGAAATCAGCTCATAACAAAAGAAGACAAAAGCAGGTGGCTGGAGAAGGTAATAAAAGTCGAGGATTTGCGCCTCTCTTAGACTTTTATGGTTTTTTTTACCCACCGTCAATTTCAGTCTTGTTTCGTGCTGTTTCTCAGTAAAACTTTTGTGTTCCCACCTTCCAGATTCAGCACCAAGATTATAGTAAGAGGTGTTATATATATGTCCTCTTTACTTGCGTAATTTAAAGAGGTTCTGGGTGATTCTATGGGTCGTAATTCCTGGCCCGGCCTTGTTGAATAGTTCTGCTCTTTCTTTAGTGTTGGTTGGTGTTTGAAACTAGAATTCTATGCATTTAATTTGTTATACGGTATTCTGAAAGTTTTATTCGAGTCGACCCTGTCGTAGCTCAGTCGATTAAGGCAGTGTCTGGGATGCTCCCGGACGCAGGTTCGAATCCTCGTCACGGCCCTTGTGGATTTGTTCATTTTATTCGAGTGTTTACCAGTTTTGTTTGTGGTAGGGAGGTTGTGTTGCGGGTGTGTGTGTGTGTGTCATCAGAGGTGGAGTTGGTGTTGGGATCGACCCATCCCAAATCCTTATCCTGATCCCTTCCCAGTGCTATATAGCAGGGGTCTCCAAACTTTTCAATGTAAGGGCCACATTATATATTTCCCATATTTATGCGGGCCGGAGGAATAAAAAATGAAATTGCTATTTTGTATAACTAAGATAAAGGCATTGTCAAAGTACAGAGAAAAGAATATTGTACAGTGTTTGTGCTCCCTGAAACGGAAGCAGCGAAGCCCCACTCGCCCTCCATCCCCACAATATACAGTTATACACAACTGATTGGTTGTAATGCACAACACATACCTACCAGTATTAGTATCTGTGCGTCACACTATCGAGAGAGAGGAAAACTGACTCGGGTTGAGCGCCACCAGTCAGCAGCCCCAACTTTGAATAATTCTGCGATGCCATTCGTACGATAATTATTTTTTCAAGGCCACCACACAGGGATTTGTTTGGAGGGCCGGATGAAATTATGTGGCGGGCCGGATGTGGCCCGCGGGCCATAGTTTGGAGACCCCTGCTATATAGTCATAATGGCTTGGCGCTTTCTGATATTTCCCTGCCCTTCCTGAGGTCTTCTGGGACCTACTGCTATTTTCAAAACTGGAATTTTCAGGGTTACATTTTCAGTATCCACTTTTTAGGCCATCTTTGAGGTTTTCTAGATCTGCTTACATCATAGGGAGCCGGTCGGCCGAGCGGACAGCACACTGGACTTGTGATCCTGTGGTCTTGGGTTCGATCCCAGGCGCCGGCAAAAACAATGGGCAGAGTTTCTTTCACCCTATGCCCCCTGTTATCTAGCAGTAAAATAGGTACCTGGGTGTTAGTCAGCTGTCACGGGCTGCTTCCTGGGGGTGGATGCCTGGTCGATTACCGGGCCGCGGGGACACTAATAAAAAGCCCGGAAATCATCTCAAGATAATCTCAAGAAGATAATCTTAGTGTTCCTATGTGCAAACTCTCATCTTTATCTTTGAGGCGTCTGCAGGTACGGACATAAAGGGGTCTATGTTATCTATCAGATCACTGACGTATTTCTGAGACAGTATACGTCCTAACATTTGACCTTTCCAATACCTGCCTGTGATATCTTTTAGCTAAAAAAAATCTCTGCTTCCACTATGACCATCTGTTTCCTGTCAGAGAGAGATTCCTTTATCCAGCCGAATGTTTTTCCATTTACTTCAGTTTTTCTCTTAGAGCTTGGATGGATCCTTCTGTCTGTGGGACTGTCAAATGCCTTCTGACAGTCTTGGTAGTCTTGCAGTAGGGGCAAGGTTTTCATCATTATGGAACTACGGTCAGCATTACCGTCAGGTTATCTTGAGGTTATCTTGAGATGATTTCGGGGCTTTTAGTGTCCCCGCGGCCCGGTCCTCGACCAGGCCTCCACCCCCAGGAAGCAGCCCGTGACAGCTGACTAACACCCAGGTACCTATTTTACTGCTAGGTAACAGGGGCATAGGGTGAAAGAAACTCTGCCCATTGTTTCTCGCCGGCGCCTGGGATCGAACCCAGGACCACAGGATCACAAGTCCAGCGTGCTGTCCGCTCGGCCGACCGGCTCCCGTCACCACCATCTTCACCATCACCACCATCTTCACCATCCTCGGCACCACCGTCATCACCATCTTCACCATCACCACTATCACCACCATCACCACCATCTTCACCATCCTCGGCACCACCGTCATCACCATCTTCACCATCACCACTATCACCACCATCACCACCATCTTCACCATCTTCGGCACCACCGTCACCACCATCTTCACCATCACCACTATCACCACCATCACCACCATCTTCACCGTCTTCGGCACCACCGTCATCACCATCTTCACCATCACCACTATCACCACCATCTTCACCATCTTCGGCACCACCGTCATCACCATCTTCACCATCACCACTATCACCACCGTCATCACCATCTTCACCATCACCACAGCCTCCTGGAAGCCCTGGGACGCGTATAGTGACGTCCCCCAACTCCAAATAACTGTCTGAAGCTCCTTCAATGAAACCCCCCAAGACCTGAATCTAGAGGGGAAATTTCCCCACTACACGGCCAACTCAGCCAATTGTGGCGTGTGAGACTAGGGACATTTTCCCCACCGTCCAGCCTTTCCCCCCTCCCCCTTCCCAGACTTTTCCCTGCCTCCCCCCCCCCCACCCCCCTCCTCTCTCTTTCTCTCCTCTCCTCTGCTCCCATTCCATCCAAGGATTGGCTGGTCCTCGTTCGGGTCCACCTCGAGTGGGCGCGCCACTCTCCTGTGGGCTCCGAGTAGCTCCTCCAAACACTTATACCAGGACTGAGGAATAATTGCGAGTGAGGATGGGATACTCTCGGACGCAGGTTCGAATCCTCGTCACGGCCCTTGTGGATTTGTTCATTTTAAGCTATTGAGACCGAGAAAGCCTCTCTATTACGGTTTTAATATCACTAAAAGTACCGGAATTTTGACGTTAAGATAGCGTCAAACCCGGGGCGAGCGTGAGGACAGGTTGAGTGAAGTGCCTGGGGCAGGATGTGTGGTGTTCGGCAGGATCTACTGGCGGCGGCAGAGACCTTGAATGAGAGAACATTCAGTGCTATGAACCGGTCGAGGCGAGCGCCTTCAAGGAGCTGAAATGTGGCCGCAGGCAAGCCCAGCCCCCTGCAGTGTCCAGCAGCCGGGGGTGTGGGCGGTGGACTCCCTTGTGGTGGATTGATTGATGATTGATGAAGATTAAGCCACCCAAGAGGTGGCACGGACATGAATAGCCCGTAAGTGGTGGCCCTTTTGAGCCATTACTATTGTCAATAGATGATACTGGAGATCTGTGGAGGTGCAACTGCACCCTGCGTGACGGGAGATGTCTCCTGTGTCGCTTGTGGTGGACTTGGTGGAGTTGATAAAGATTAAGCCACGCAAGAGGTGGCACGGGCATGAATAGCCCGTAAGTGGAAGGTGTTTGGATCCACTACCAGTACCAGCAGGTGATACTGTTGACCTGTTGATAGATGAGGTCTTCATGGTCGGTGGTTGTAAGCTGTTGTTGTTGTTTCAGATTTAGCTACTCAGACCGAAGTGTCCATGTAGCACGGGCTATGGCGAGCCCGTCGGTTGTAAGCGTAGGGTATTAATGATATATGGGTGAGGAGAAGTATAGTGTGGTTCAGGATATATTGCCGTCAAGTTCCTTCTTTCTTCTGTCGTCTAAGGTTGAAGTTCAGTTCTCTTGAGATGTCTTCGTAGCTTAACCCTCTTAGCTCTTGCACAAGTCTTCTTACAAACCTCTGAATGCTTTTTTTCCTTACAAATGGTTGCGGATGCAGACTTGTGCTGCATATTGTAATTCTAGTATTACACAGGCTGTGTATTTCTTCTGGGGTATTCCTGCATGGACCCAAAGCCTCTGGCTGGTCCACTAAGTATTACTAGTTTTTCGTTTTTGTCTTAAACGGCGAATGAGTATTATGACTCGCATGCTGGCTTCTGTAAGCTTATGTCCCATGTCTTTAATAACTTCTTCTGTGTTGTTAAATCTCAGTTGAAATTGGTTTCTAACTCAGGACTGTGTTTGATATGTTCCCCTCGCCACCCCCCCACCACCTCTTACACCCTCACAACACCCCTCCCCCCCTCCAACATCCCTCCCCCCTCCTACACCCCCTCAACACCCCTCCCCCCTCCAACACCCCCTCAACCCCCCCCCCCTCCTACACCCCCTCAACACCCCACCAACACACTGTGACTCCCACTCTTCCCGGAGCGGCGCGCGTATTGACGGCCCCTGACTATAGCACAGTGTGAGAGCATTAACACACACACATTACAGTACTGAACAGCGGAAGTTGGTAGGGCTTAAAGCTGCGGTGAGACCGTTCGCTGCCTCCACTGTAGAGTGTACTCGGGACACTGCTCCTACACCTCCACAACACTCTCACAGCCAGCCTACCTTGCCGAACACGAAGCAAAACACAAATATAAGAATAGTCTCGAAAACCCGTTGTAAGAAACGATTTTGCAAGGAATGGAACGGAGGTGGGAGGCCAGGCAGTGGCAGCCGACCGAATGGGAAGGCAACTCCCGACGTGGATAACACTGTTCTGTGGACAATGTCTCGTTCGGGAGTGAACTTTTATCAAGTTCCCGCCAACCCGCCGCCCCGCCGCCCCGCCGCCCCGCCGCCCCGCCGCACCGCCGCCCGCCGAGGTTTCCCGCCAACCAATCGCCCTCCACCATAGCGATATACCACTCCCGCCGACCAATGAAAATGGAGGAATAGTGGGCGAGCCTATCGAGAGGACAAGGGTCGCTCCTCTTCACTCTCAGCAAACTTTCATGGACAATACATCCATATTCTGTTTT